CTCACCTGGTGGAAGGGCAAACAAGTTCCCTCAGGTCACTTCTGTAAGGGCTTGGATTCCTTTTTTAAGGGTTCTGCCTTTGTGGCCTAATCATCTCCCAGTTGCTCCATCTCCCAACAGTACCACAATGGGGATTTGGTTTTACCATGTGGATTTGGGGGATACATTGATATTCAGACTATAGCATGAGGTGACCTTAACTCAGGGTTAAGGTCATTTAAAGACCATCCAGGTACATCATTTACCAGCACCTTCCACTCAAAGTGAATAACATAGCTGCTAATAGGTTGTTGAAGCATTTATGGAACTAACTGGTCCTTTTTCTCTGTCAAACAGCCAGGTCTACAGTGGGCTCTGAGGGGTGGTAGAAGAGGCAGTAGGAGGCAGAATAGGTAGAAACCTAGGGACAGGATGGGCCTAGGGTGCACCTGCTCCCTGTCCAACAGGAAGCTTTCCTACAAGAGAACAGAAGGCAGGCCTAGTGTCAGTCTAGGCTGGGAGCAGATAGCTCAGAGAATACCCATCTTTCTAAATCTGTTTCAGAGGAGCTTAGGGCTTGGGATGGTCAGAGCAGTAGAAAGAGAAACTTCCAGGATTCCTCAGATACCAAGAGAATATTCTCCAGGGTTGGAGTAGAGGACAGGGTAAACTTTAATAAGTTCCTAAGATGTGGAGGCGGGGGGACAGGGACTGAGGCTGCCTTTCCAAAATCTGGCAGCACAGGGACAATCCTTCAACCACTTCTTCTTCATGTCTGTGTTGACCTTGAAGAACTTCACTGCTCCATTCAGGTGGCATGAGGCCACTCCTGGGCATCCCATCCTGGCCTTTCCTTTACTTGTGAAATGTGAAAAAATAGAGGTTCTTGAGCTCTGTGGAGGCTTTCCCACCTCAGGTGTGCCTAGCTTGAAGGTGTGCCTAGCTTGAAGGTTACCTAGCTTAAAGGTGTGCCTAGCTTGAAGGTGTGCCTAGCTTGGAGGCTTTCCCACCTCAGGTATACCTGCCTTGCCTAAGCCAGTGGTTTCTGGGTCCTTTCTGTCACAAATTCCAAGAATGGATTTCACAGACAATGGGAGGATGAGTTTAGAAAGGTATTTCATTATAGAATTATAGGTGGGAGCACAAGACAAAGAAGGCAGAGTGCCTGTATAGGAGGAGGTAACTGGAATACCACCAAGCTAATGCTCTAGGGCTTTTTTATAGGACTTGTGACATATTGGGGTGAATGTGAGGCATGGCAGATGAGCTGATCATTCCCATTGGTCCACCCATAAGGTGTCCAGGTACCTCTCTATTTTGGTCATGTCCTCACATATGGTTTTTAGGCAATGGGACCATTAAGTTGTGTAAAAGGCGAAAAATAAGAAACCAGATCTCTCTTCTGGATTTTCTGGCTTCCAGTCAGAGCAAAACAAAGATATTTCTGGGTTATAGCCAAGGACAAGAAGGGAGGTCCCTGTCTCTAAACTGCCAGTTTCTATCTCCTGCTCTCATCATGTGTGGGTGACTCTTCTGGTTACAGTGAGTAGGACATTAGTAATCTGCTATTGAATATTTTGAATTCTGAAAAGATGGGATTGTCAAGAAGGAGCTTAGCTGGTGAATAGGTACAGAAAGGAGGGCTGAGTTCAGGGAAGATTATAGGAGAGAAGAATGAAGTATGCTCTGAAAAAGTAGTGTGGGGAACAGCTGGAGCCCAGCTGCCTTATCTGGGGGCATTCATTTGTGAATGACTTCATTAAATTCAGAAGCTGTTAGGACAGTAGAGAAAGAGGAGTGATGTGACAAAGTGACAGAGCCAGGTGTGGTGGCACACACCTTTAATCCCAGCACTCATGAGGCAGAGGCAGGGGGATCTCTGTGAGTTCAAGGCCATCCTGGTCTACATACATAGTGAGTTCCAGAACATCTGGGGCTACAGGAAGACCCTGTCTCAAAAAGACCAAAGGAGGGGAAAAAAAAGTGACCGGAAGACACAGAGCCAGCAACTCACCAGACTTTGAGAAATGGTTGAAATTCATCTACATCCTCAGATCTGTTGCCAGAGATTAATAGCTAGGTTTATTTAGATGTTTGAGATTGGATCAACATTCCTCCCTCCCACCCTCCTTCCTTTTTTCATTTTTCCATCCATCCATCCATCCATCCATCCATCCATCCATCTGATTTAGACTCCTAAAAAGTCAAGAAAAAGAGTGACAAGGCAGGTGTCCATCCCTTTCCTGCCACTTTCCGTCATTCTGGTTTTATCTTTCTTGGGGAGTAAACAAAAGGCATTTTTACCTCAGGGGTAAATTTGGCAGGTTTGGGAAGCACCAACACATTGCAGCATCACCTAGTACTTTCATAAAGTAAGCCCTACAATGATCATTTCTAAGTATTTCTTTTTTAAATTTTTATTATTTTTATTTTATAGGTATGAATGTTTGCCTATGTGTGTCTTTCAGTGCTCATGGAAGCCAGAAGAAGGGTATTGAAGTCCCTAGAATTGGAGTTAAGGACGGTTGTTAGCTGCCATGTGGATGCTGGGAACCAAACCAAGGTCCTCTGCAAGAGCAGCCAGTGCTTTTAACCCCTGAGTCATCTCTCCAGCCCCCTAAATAGTTCTAATCATAACGTAAAATAAAAGTGTGCTGATTAAATGAATGTTTTTTTTAAAATAATCTCTGTCAGTCAGCCTGATGTGGTCCTGGTTGGATCTGTAGCTGTGGACAGAATTCACTCATTCTCTTGAAGAATCACTGACTGCATTAGTTTGTTCTGTATTGAGAGGAGTCCTAGTGAAATTAGTTTCTGTACAGGTCTTAACCTAGGCATTCTTTCACTGTTGCTGTGGAAACCAGAAATAAAAAATGTGGGTTGAGAAAGAAAAATAATCAGTACTAAACATCAGTAAAATACATTGGGAGTAAGCTGGGGTTTCTGTTCTTGTTGTTTTGGATTTTTTTTTTCTTTTTTGTCTTTTTGAGACAGGGTCTCCCTGTAGCCCCAGCTGTCCTGGAACTCACTATGTAGACAAGGCTGGCCTTGAAGTCACAGAGATCCCCTTGCCTCTGCCTCCCAAGTGCTGGCATTAAAGGCGTGTGCCACCACACCCGACCCTGTAAGCTGTTTTTTACATTTAGAATCATGAGACCTGGGAACCAAGACAGTTCTGAGCAAAACCTATAACTGAAGTCATACATGTTTTTTTCCTCAGAAAAACTATGGAAGACAAATTTCAGAGTCTTTTCCAATAATGAATTCAGGCTTCTGTATGTATGTAAGTATGCATTTATGGAATGCTAGGGATGGAGCGTAGGGTCATGATCAGCAATGCTCTACCACTGAGCACTACCGCTGAGTCTTTTACTAGAGTATTCTCTTCAAAAGCCATATTCATATAGCTGCAGAGAGTACCAGACTGAACACATGTCCCCAGCTAATCATTTTGTTTAAACAGGAAGAGGAACTGGGTGGCTCTTGGAGAGACAGATATTATCAGTTGAAATGGTTTCTTCCTGTCAGGAAAGGAGCCAGGAACCTAAGGTGGTGGCAGCCTGAGCTGAGCTGTAGAGCTGCCTGTCGTGCATCTCTGAGGTGGCTGTATGGTGGCTGTACTGGAATGCCATGAGGTCAGAGGAGGCCCTCAACACCCCGTACAAGCCATCACCCCTCAGAGTGGTTAATCAGGGGTCTGTGCCCTGTGAAAGTGGCTGATGGAATTGTTAGTTACCTGTGGGTGGCTTTTTCTTTTTTTTCCTTTGAGACAGGATCTTACTGTGTAGCTCTGGCTGACCTAGAATTTGCTATCTCAAACTCATAGAGATCCACTTGCTTCTGCCTCCTGAGTGCTGGTAGTAAAGGTATGTGCCACAGTGCCTGGCACATGTGGGTATTTTTAGAAGAGTGTTAATAGAGCACTGTGGTTTGGGTACCCTGTATCATCAGAGCCCACAGAGATAGGCAAAGACAGAGTTGGTGAAAGATGAAATACCCAAGGATTTTTAGTCCAGCCTGTGCTGCTGACAGCAGACATTGAGCCTGGGAGGGGGAAAGAAGTCATAAATGACAGCTGATGGCAGGACCCAGGCTGTCTTCCAGGTCTCTGTATTCAAGTTTTCCTCTAGGTCTTTAGCTACTTCTGCTACTTTGAACATTTTTTTTTTCTTTTATAAATTGTAGCTAGGGCAATAGCTCTGTCTTATAATGTCAGGTCTGATCAATTACAATGTGTTTTATTAATTTTAAAGGGTATCCATTTTTATCTAAAAAAAGGAAAAAGTCATTTGTGCTTCTGCAAAATCTAACTTTCAAATTACTTATTTATGTCTGTTTTAAAATTAGGGAGATTATAGGGCTGGAGTAATGGCTCTGTGATTAAGCATATGCTGTTCTTCCAGAAGAAGACCCAGGCTAGATTCCCAACACCTACATGGCAGCTGACAACTGCCCTCAAGGGCACTTCATGCATGTGGTACACTTACACATAAGTAGGCAAAGCACTCATATGCATAAAATAAAATAAAATAAAATAAAATAAAATAAAATAAAATAAAATAAAATAAAATAAAATAAATAAATAAAATAAAAATATTTTGCATGGATATTAGTTTTTTTAAAAAAAATAGGGTGATCATTTTGGTTGTCCTAAAGCTGCAAGGCTTATGGGCATTTACATCTTGACTCAAGCTGCTGTATTATGTGTGTGTGCTTGTGGATATATGGTGTGACACTGTTAGGTATCTGTAGCAGAGAATAAGCTATCATTTTGCTGAAAAGTAATGTCAGAATATCAGTAATATTGTACATATATTATAATAGTTTAGTAAAACTTGTTTGGAGATAAAGAGGTGAACAGTACGCAAAGGCACTGTCTTAAGTAGAATTTTTTATGCCTAGTCAAAGCCTAAGTGCTCATTCTGCAGTTGCAACTGTGAGCTAAATAGTTTGTAAAACTTCATGTTGTCACTCACGGATCCATATTTGGGACACATGTTTTCCTTTTTACTCCTCTGCAGAGAGAAAGCCAAGGACATCATGCGGAGTGCTACCAAGCCCTGGAGTCCAGTTGCCAAGGCAGGCAGCCATGGCCCCGACCGCACTCGGCCCCTCCCTGGGGCCTCTTCTGGCATGAAGAGCTCCAAATCTTCAACATCATTGGCCTTTGAGTCCCGACTTAGCAAGGTACAGATTCTTGGGGCAGGGTTGTGAGGATGCTTAATGACCTGGGTGGCAGGGTTGAAGAGGGCAGTTAGTGAACCCCAGCAGCTCCTGAGGAGGGGCCCCCAGAGAACTACCCTGATCCTGACAATCCATCATTACTTCTTGCTTGACCTGTCAGCACTGTTGTTAATGCCCTCTACCAGGGAATGCCTTCTTTCTTTTTTTCCTCCCTCCTCCTCATCCCCTTGGCCTCTAACTTTAGGCAGGCCTGGGTTTGGGCCAAGCTCTTTTCCAGTTATATTCATCCTCTGTGTCAGGGTTCTTCCCATGAACCTGCCGCCTCCTTTGCTGTGTTAAGATGAAATTCATAAACAATATCATCTTTCTGTCTGCAAGCCAGCATTTGAAAAGCCAATATAATAGCCTGGGTGTAGAATAAAAAGAAAGTATTAAATACTCTACATTTCCACCTGTAGTGCCTGAGCGTGGCTGTGCAAAGGCCTCATAGTGCTCTCAGGAGCACCAACACTACCTTGAAGGATGCTGCCAAGAGAGTGGTGGGATTGCTGTGAAATGGTGGATGTTCTCAGGACATTCTGGGCCATAATGCCATCTTTCCTTATTCATTATGATGGCTGTCCTCTTAGAAAATTCAGGGTCTCCTAGAGTTCTGCAACAAATTCTTGTCTTTGTGTACAACATTAAGGAGGGTCATAGGCCTGGATGATGATAAAAAGGTATTCTACCCATGGGAGTATCTAAAGACTCTGTGAAAACTGGGGTGGGAGTGAGACACAGTTCTTTGTACAAATAATCATGCACATTATAGGATATCTAAATTTCTGTCCTACCACACATTAGTATCAGTCACACATCTAATCATGGTGACACCTAAAAATGCACCCTCTCATCTCCAACACACTCCCAGAGAACAGAACTGTTCCTATTGAGAGCCGTTTTCTAGGTGACAATATCTGTTCTTTGGGTGGCATCCAAATCTCCATTGCTAGCCAGGAGCCTTCCCACCGCCTGGGGTGTCTAAATGCCATCCCCAGTTGTAACATATCCAAGCCAGATCTTGATCCTTTTTCAGCAAATGATGCCTCTATCCTTTAAATTGCTCAATCCAGAGCCCCTTGCGTCAGTCTTGAGAACTCCTTTGTTCATGTCTCAGAATAAATCAATGAAAAGCTATCACTGCTGCCTTAAGAAAAGGTATCATGGGGGCTGGAGAGATGGCTCAGTGGTTAAGAACACTGGCTGCTCTTGCGGAGGACCTGGGTTTAGATCCCCACACCCACATTGGTGGCTCCTAACTACTTGTAACTCCAGTCCCAGGGAATCCCAATACCCTTCTGACTTCTGTGGGCTCCCGCACACATGCGGTACACATACATACCCTCAGGCACACCTACATTCACATAAAATCAATAAATATTTTTAAAAAGTGATATCATCTGAAACCACTTTCTGAGGCCTGTAAGGCCAGGTCCCACCCTTCTCTGCCTTGGCATCCATTGCTCTGCTTTCTTCTTTGTGCTCAACAAAGTGTGTCACAACAGACACCAGAGGAGTTTGTTTTTTCTCTTTTTTGAGACAGGGTTTCCCTATAGCCACAGCTGGCCTGAAACTCACTATACAGACCAGGCTGGCTTTGATCTCACAGAGATCCTCTGCCTTCTTAATGCTGGGATTAAAGGTATGTACCACTATGCTCAGCTCAGAGGAGTCCTTTTAACATACATGGCCTGCCAGTTCTCTGCCTCACCCTCTAGAGCTCTTTCCGTCCTCACAGACTGAGAAGGAAAGTCCTCCAAGTGGCCAGTGATACCGTCCAGGTCTTGCCTCATTTCCTGTTAAACACTGTTGTACTCCTCTATTCCCTGGCTCCCAGATGGTCTTTTAGTGACTGTAATGACTGTTCCTTGGACATGCTGGCACACTCCTGTGGACCTGTTTGTATTGCCTCCTTCCTCTGTCTGGTGGGCACCATATCAGAGACCAACCTTGAGCAGCCTATGTGCCATGCTCCTTGACTGTCGTCCAGACCCCTCACCCTGCCCCAGCTTCCCCATCAACTCTTACCCCATCATATATCTTGTTTGTTTAGCATGTGTCTGCATTTGGCTGGAATATAAGCTCCAGGAGGGCAGTAACTATGCTTTTTGTTGCCCACAGTTCTGACCCTAACACTTAGAAAACTGTGTGCTGCTTGGTGGGCACTTAGTGTTTATTAAAAGCCATGGCCCCCTGTTCTGGGAGTCTCAGCCTGCTAGCATGGGAGGGGCTTTAGGTGGGTCAGACCAGTCTGAGGCACACTGAATCCCTTTGCAGCCATGAAACCCCAGGTAAGTGTTGAAGCTGCCAAACCTGAACTTGTGCTTCCTAAACTTTGAAGATAATGCCTAATTTGCCATGAGGAGCTTATGTGGATCAAAAGCATTATTTTTGTTTTGATTATCTTTCACCTAATACATTTTCAACTCAGATTTTAAATGAATATATTCATTCTATCAATAATATACTGAATATATTCCATATATTTACCAATAATATTTGAAATGTATTGAATATTTTTCAAGTTAGCACAGATCCTAGCTATGTAGCCCAAAGGCTAGACTAGAACTCACAATTCTCCTGTCTCAGTCTCCCACGTGCTGGGATTACAGACATGTGCTCAGCTATTGGAAATACTAGGAGAGTGTTTAAGAAAAGCATGAGAGGTAGCTGGAGAGATGACTCAGCAGTTAAGAACACTGACTGCTCTTGCAGAGGCCCCGGGCTTGATTCCCAGCACCCACACGGTGGCTAACACCCATCTGTAACTCCTGTTCTAGGGTATTCAGTGCCTTCTTCTGACCTCTGCAGGCATTGTACAACACAGGTGCACTTACATACATGCTGGCAATACACCATACACATAAAAATAATAAATGTTAGAAAGATATTTTAAAAGAAAAGCACAAGAGGCTAGGTGTGGTGGATGCACACCTTTAATCCCAGGATTGGGCAGCAGAGGCAGGTGGATCTCTGTGAGATCAAGACAAGGCCAGCCTGGTCTACATAGTGGGTTCCAGGCCAGCTGGGGCTACAGGGAGACCCTGTCTCAAAAAGACCAAAAAAAGGGGCTGGAGAGATGGCTCAGCAGTTAGATCACTAAGTGGTCTTACAGAGGACCCAGGTTCTAATCACAGCACCCATATGGCAGCTAACAACTGTCTGTAACTCCAGTTCCAGGGATCTAACACCCTCTTCTGACCTCTGTGAGTATTGCATGACATGGGTGCACTTACATACATACAGGCAATACATTCATACACATTAAAAAAAAAGACACCCCCTCCCCACCAAAAAGAAAAGAAAAGTGCAGAAGTATTTCTGAGGACAGAACTCTTCCACAGAAGAGTTGGGGGAAAGGAAATACTTGTGTTATAGGCTTTCTGCTCTCTGCTCTGATTCATGAGCTGTCTTGGCCTGTGTAAAGTCAAACTTACTTCTGGGAGGCCCACGCTGCCCACTGGGAGGTGCACTGAGACCTTCTCTCTCCCCACACTGTCCTTACAACAAAAACTATAGTTTAGGGACTAAAGATATTTATTTGTGCTTGCCAACATCACTTATGATGTCCGGGAGGGGGTTACTTACAAATGCATGTATACCTGTGGGTGTTTTTCCCTATGTCTAGGCTGAACTTTGGAAATCTGTGCCTGCCAGCACCCCCACCCCTCACTCCCCCAGCCCAAAATGTTGAAACTCCTGTCTCCTTCCTGGCTTCTTCCATGTCTGTGTCTATCTTTAAGACCCTCCCCCTCATGTAATTGAAGCTGACCTACTGGGTGGGAGGGGTGACTGTCTTCCTCCTGTCCTACAGGGTCTCTTAGGATTCAGACATCCAACTGTTGCTAGTTCTTTCGGAGGACATGCCTATCCAGCAGCCTGGTATTATGAAGAGAATGCCAGGGAACAGGGAAGGGTGGTAGGAGGAACTGAGCCATGCCTGCATCTTGTTAGCCCTATCCTGTTTGGCATAGACCACCTCCTTTCCAGCTGTGAGTGTGCAAAAGATTGAAACTCCAGAGAACATAAGAGAAAAGGAGGAAATGGTGATGGTCAGAAAAACCAATTGATTTCTTTCCCCTGTGAAAATTTTCAAGTAGGCAGGAAGTTGAATTCTGCAGCAAACATCCCCGCAGCACCACCTGGACTATACAGTCAACATCATGACTGCCTGAGAGTGAATGGACGTGAATGTCCTGTTTGCAAATAGAAAACTGAAGCAAGTCTACCCAGAGTAGAACTGAATTCCTAACTCCGTATGCTGACAGAGCTGCAAGAGCTGAAAGAACAAGGCAGGGGTGCAGCAAGGACAGGCAGGGATGTTGCTGCGAATCATGTGTTCTCTGGCTTCAGCAGGCTACATCGTTCCAGCCGTGGAGAAGGACTACATTTGTGAATCAGAGCTTACTTGGTTACAGATGGCAAAACATTGGCTTGAGCTTATATGAGCAGAAAAGAAAGCCAGTTGTACCTCACTATCCATAGGCGTTTTCTTTCATGATTCCCATGGATGACAAAAATCTATGGATGCTCCAGTGCCTTATCTAAAAGGCACTGTTTGCATATAGCCTATACATGTCCTCTATATCTTAAACTCGAACATCTCTATATTACTCATAATACCTAATTTAATGTAAGCTGTTTTCAGAATAATGACCAAAAAAATGTATGCATTTCCCCTACAAATGCTATTTTTCTGCTGTTTTTGAGTGGAGGTGAGCCATGTCCAAGATGACACCATAATGAGCAGATCCTAAGGTTTCCACGTCACTGTGGAACAAGGACGCAAGACTGCAACTCAGAGAGGCTGGACCAGAGACTTTGTTGCTCATCTCTACTCACCTCTGTCCCCCATTTTTGTGTCATGTCCTGATGCCCAACATACATACGAAGCATATTGCCAGCATCACTTGGAAGGCCTGGTCACCTTTTTGTTCATTTCCTATTTGTTAAAAAGAAAGTAA